AAAAAAAAAAAAAAACAAAAAAAAAAAAAAAAAAAGAAAAGAAAAGATGTATGGTCAACATCACTAGTGAGATACATTATGTATCTAATAAAATGCCTAAAACTAAAACAGTAATAACACCAAATGCTGAGGAGGATGTAGAAAAAGTGGTTCTTTCATACATGGCTGGTGGGAATGTAAAATGGTACAGTCGCACTGGAAAATAGTTTAGTACTAGCTTATAAAGTTAGAAATGCACTTACCATATGACCCAGCAATCACATTCTTGGGCATTTAACCTAGAGATATGAAAACTTATGTTTGCATAAAAACTTATACATGAATATGCACATTAAATTTATTTCTAATAATCAAAAGCTGGAATCAATCCAAGTGTCCTACAACAGGGTCAATGGTTAAACAAAATGGCATACCTAGACAATGGAATATCAGCAATAAACATAAATGAACTATTGATATTTACAAAAACTTGGATGGATCTCAAAGGCATTATGCTTATTGAAGAAAACCAATCTCAAAAAACTACATACCTTATGATTCCACTTCTATAACATCTACAAAATGACAAAACTAAAGGGATGGAAAACAGATTTGTGATTGCCAGGAGACAGAGAAGAAGTTCGTGGCTAGGGACATGCCTACAAATGGGTAGCAAAAGGGACTTGCTAGTGGTAGAACACTTCTATATCTTGATTGTTTGTGGTCATGGTTGCACAAGACAATACATAGCATCAAACTGTACAGAACACCAAACACAGAGACACACACACACACACACACACACACACACACACTACTGCATATAAAAATTAATAAAAATTTAATAATGACTGTGTTTTAGTTAACAGTACTGTACCAATATGAATATCTTGGTTTTGATGTACTATTAGCCATATAAGATATTACCATTAAGTTATCACAAATAATGATCATAACTCAACATAAATGTCCAGAATAAATTTTAATAAAGGCACTGTGGCAAAATGCAGGCATTTTCGAACGGGCCTGGGGTTAGAGGGCAGTGGTAAATAAAAACTAAGAGAACTAGAGAACTAGATACAGAACATATTTTCAGAAATCCAGGTAAAAAGGGTCAACAAATCAATAAGAGGCAGTAGATAAACTAAAACCCTATAGAACTGGCAAACAGAAAAGGCAATATTTTTTAAATGCAAGAATTAAGGCCAGGCACGGTGCCTCACGCCTGTAATCCTTGAACTTTGGGAGGCTGAGGTGGGCAGATCACAAGGTTGAGTTTGAGAACAGCCTGGCCAATATGGTGAAACCCCATCTCTTAAAAAAAAAAAAATTAAAAAGAAATGCAAGAATTCTTTATAAGCGTACCTTCATTGCCATCTCCAAAAGAGACGACATAACTGTCGGGTGCATAGTATGCCTTCCTTTAATGATAACAGTCATCACCATCTTCCTTACCATCTTCATTATCACCATTATTACAGCAAACTAATTCAAACTACTTTCTTCCAGAATGCTCTGCTTTAACTCTGATCATCTTGAGTTTCACCTGACATTTTTCTTACCACTAATATAATTTTATGAGATTTTTCTACCATTTATGCGTTATCTGAAGCACTTTTCAATTAGTGAAAAGTTAAATTACCTCCAAGTGTGAATCTTGGCATGTAACTCTGAAATCCTCTAATGAATAGGTGAGAGTGATCCTTATTAGTTCACTGTATTACATATCATAGCTCAGTTTTGAATCAACTCAAGAATAAAGCTGTCTTCCCATTAATGGGATAAGGCTTAGAACAAATCAGTTTGCTCTAAAGTTGTTGTTCCAAAATATACTTTACTATGCATTTGCCATTTTATTTTCTAATATTTTAAGTTTACTCCTCATTAACACTTACAATACCATTTGTACCCAGCATTATTATTCCTCTAGCACAGATGAAGAGAAAGATTCAGAGAAGTTAAGCAACTGGCCCATGGTAAGAAGGAAAACTTTGAGTTTGAATCCATATAGTTACAAGATTCAGAAAAGTTAAGCAACTTACTCATGGTAAGTAGGAAAACCTTGAATTTGAATCCAGATAGTTCTATCTCTAGAACATATCTACTCTTTTAACATCACTGTGCTAACACTAAAATTCAGAAAGTCAATCTGAACTCATATACTGCTTGCAGGAGTATAAACTTGGGAGATCAAATTTTCACATTAAGGCTGAACATGCACAAAATCTATCTAGGTGGAAACCCAGCATGTGTATTTGGATGGAAACTGTGACATATATTCCTTGCCCTCACTCCTAAATCATCCATTATTCTGAGTGTGCTGGTTCATTCCCAGCAGCTCACAAACATGTGGTAAAACCTTCTGCAGGGTTGTTTACAGCTGTCTCTAATGCCTCTTTCCATTCTCTACTGAAAGTTCTCCAATCAGGCTTTCATTTATATTTATTTAAACAGCTCTTTGTGAAGGTCACCAATGACCTCCACATCATCTAATGAAAAAGTAAATTCTCAGTTCTCATCTAATCTGACCCATCACTAGCATATGACTTTAACTAATTACTGCCATTTAATTTTTTCATTTGACATTCAGGATCTCTCTCTTGTTCCTGATTCTCAACCTATTTTACTAAAAATTACTTTTCAGCCTCCTTTGCCACTTTCTCCTCAGCTTCCTGACCCTAAAGGTCTCAGTGCCCAGGGCTCAATCTTCAGATCTCTTTTCTAGCAACATTGACACTTCAAGTGATTTCAGTTAGGACTAAATATTATCTCTATGTAAATGAATCTGCAAAATTTATCTCTAGCCCAAACTCTCTCCCAAACTCAACATCTTCACTCTGATGTTTAAGTAGCATTTCAATTTAATATATTTAAAACCTAAAATTTGCTTTCCACCACCACCAAACATTTTTGGCACTTTCTAAATCTAATTAATGGCACCCGTCTTGGGTCTCTTTCAGCCACAAACCTTCAGAGTTACCTGAGTTTTTCCTCTAACATCCCATGTCCAATAAATCAGCAAAGCATGTCATCCCCTCCTTAAAAACATATCCAGAATCTGTCACAGAATGTGTCCATCCTTCATCATCCCCTTGCTATCAACCTAATCTAAGCCATCACTATCTCACATTTGTAAGACTTGGTCTAGAAAACCTAAAGAAAGCAATCCCCTTAGTCATCTTCCATTTTTGTAGGTTAGGGTTAGTTACACCATTCTCTCAATAGATAATTACCTCTAAAAGCAGGAACATGGTGACACAAATCAAGCAAAGAAAGTGGTTGCTTTATCCTGTATCTGCTTCAGGCTTTCATGATAAAATAAAAAAGAAGGTCATATAAGGGATTCTTGAGGCATCTTTATTATCCAGCCCAGCCTGAAATATCAGAGTAGGACAGCCAGGGGTTCAGAAGAGCAGCCATAGTCATGACTGTATGGTACATATTCTGCTAGGGCAGCTGTTACAAAGCACATCTGGAAACCTTTGAAGGCCAGACAGACTCTACAATCAAACAAGTCAATGGTAACTTTATTATCTGGTATAGTTAGTGCCATGGTTGGCATATTTGTCCTCTCTAAAATCTATTTTGAAATTTAGGTACCGCCATAACAGCGCTGAGAGGTGAGGACCTTCAAGAGATGATTAGGCCATGGGCTTTGGTCTCTTAGGTGAGTGTACTGAAATTATAAAGGGCAAGTTTGGCCCCTTTTGTTTCTTGTCCCATACTCCACAGCATGACACAATAAGCAGGCCTTCGCCATATGCTAGCACCTTGATATTGAACTTCCTGGCCTCCAGAACTGTAATTTCTATTCATGTAAAATTACATAGTCTGTGGTATTCCTACAGCAGCACAAAATGGACTAAGACAGTTGGTATCTCAACATTTAGGAAACCCGTAAGAGGTTTTTCCACCATTAAAACAACTATGAAAACTTGCACAAGTTACTTAGATAATCTGATTTTGCACAAGCCACTAGACAGATTGAAATATATGATAATGAAGAAAACTTGGCAGGGTGTGGTGGCTCACAACTATAATCCCAGCATTTGGGAAGCCAAGGCGGGAAGATCACTTCAGCCTAGCAGTTCAAGATCAGCCAGTGAAACACAGGAAGACCCCATCTTTACAAAAATTAGCTGGGCGTGGTGGCACGCACCTGTAATCCCAACGACTTGGGAGGCTTGAGTGAGAGGACCGCTTGAGCCCCAGAGGTCGAGGCTGCAGTGAGCCAAGATCACACCATTGCTCTCCAGCTTGGGCAACAGAGTAAGACTGTCAAAAAAGAAAAGAAAGAGGGAGGGAGGGAGAAAAAGAGAAAAAGAGAGACAGACAGAGAGAGAGACAGAGAGAAAAGAGAGCAAGCAAGCTAGTTCACAATTCAACAACAGATACTTCTTTTAGAAGTCAAATTACTCAGGTAGCAGATTTCTTTTTTAATTCTAGGATTCAAAATTCCCCAACAATGTCTAAGGCAGATTCCTACTAAAATGTTAAATGGAAGGCCTCTCATTTAAATATCAGTAATGCCAATGCCACAAAGACAGAATACAGAAACAGACAGATCATTATCCTAATCCAGTATGATATTTCAACCAGTAAGCATAAGGTAAGGGCACTAGCCTTGATTCAAAACATGTATTAGTTTTATTATTAAATGTATGGCATTGACTAAGAAAAGCATTAAGAATTCTTATAGAATCAAAATTACATAATTCCATGATTTATTTACTGAGTACATACATCTCAGATGCAGTAACAGTTGCTGTGAGGAATATAAATAATTGCAAATATTTTAGGTACTTAGATTCTTATTTTAGATTTGAAATGAATGGAAGGTCACCTAAATATTCCTACACCTTTATTAGGCACAGTGAAAATTTCCTGGAAAAGCAAATTAAGTATATACCTTTCAGTGCTGTAGTCTTTTCTTTTTCATCTGGACCTCCCTGCTGGATTTGTGCCATGTTTATCCAAATTGGCAACAAAATTAAAGAGCTCAAGGAAATAGACATCAATCTTCAGAAGACAGTCTAGAATGAATGAAAGCAATAAATTAAGTTCTACTCAAAACCTAGCTACTCCATGATAACTTCCTTGATCCTCCTAGTCAGGATTAATCTCTCTGTCTTAATTTCCCACTGCACTTTGTTGATGCCTACACCATATTACTTATTATTGTCTGCTTTGCATTAGACTTATTTATGAATTTATCTGAGTCAGCTAATGGCATACAAGCCTCAGGAATAGAGATATCAAGTTTTCTTCATCTTTCTCTCATGTCACCAAACACAATACCTTATACATTACAGTTACCTAATGTTTGCTGAATTGAATTTAGCCAAACTTACTATTTAGTTTTAGTTACCTATCACCTAATGTTTTTAAAAAATATCTTTGGGTAGTTCCAAAAATTTAAAATTTCTTTCCAAATAAATTGTAAGCACGTGCCATTACAAGGTCAGAATGGCTTCCTTCTGGAACAAGCAGAAAGGAAGGCGCAAATACATAAATCTATAAGTATCTACAAATTTCCTATAGTGTGATTAAAAATGCAACTTCAAGGGGAAAATTAGCTCTTTTTAAAATGAAACGATGTCATCAATGTCTGGAAGCCATACTCTATAAACGGCATTCCAGTAAACAATCATATTATCAAATAACGGTTTATTAAAATCTAATTCTGCTCTACTCTGGCCAAAGGGAAGGTATTAAAACTAAAAATATATGGCTTTTCCCAGGGTGCCCATGAACAGTAAAGCAAATCACCTCTCCTACAGCTTAAAAGGAAAAAAAGTGCATTACCTACAATATAAAAATTTAAATTTAATTAATCCAAAACTGTTAATGAGATTATATAAAAACTACATTCATGGCAATATAATAAGATTGAATATTCCTCTGAGGAACCCAATTTGATCTGCTATCTGTAAGGTAAACTGCAGTTGCCATTCAGGGGTACATTTTATAACTATCTTTAAAAACAGATCAATTTCCATAATCAGCAAATTGTAACAGAAAACACTTTTTGAAAAACTAGTACTGAAAATAAATATTTTAAAACTATGAATGTTCCAAATGGCCATAACCAATACTGCCCTTGTGTCAAGTCTAACTGTAGGTGATGTGCTATAAGAGAAAGGACCCTTTGGCTCCACTAAGAGCTAGCCATGAGCCCTTGACAAGTTATTTTACTTCTCTGGGACTCATTTTCCATATTTGTAAAATGGAAATGTAATCATGTTTCCGTCATAGTGTTATAGTGAGGTTAAATGTAAAACATTTTATACAGTGTCTGAGTCATAATTATGTGTACAACATACACGTTAGCTCATGTTAGCTTACTTTTTTAATCGTAAACGAATCACAGCTACATCACTTAATAACACCTCTGTGGCAAGTCATATCAAAACTCTTTAATATTTTCATTTATAAAATGTTGTTTCAGAATTAAATAGTACAGAAGGTATATACAGCCAATCATTCCTATAACTCGCCATTTTACTATTACCCAATGGTGTGAGATATTCTAAAAGGAATATCTAGAAGACAAGACTATTTTTCACTGGGAAAGCACTTTCACTTAGCACAGAAGTAGCTCTTATTTTTCTTCTATGTATAGGTAACTCAAAACTCTATAAATTCTACATAAATAAAATGTGTCTATATCCCTTCAAGAAATGTATCCTAGTATTTAAGGTAGGCAATATGCAAGGCTCTGGGAATACAACGGTGAGTAAAACAACTAAGGTCACTGCCCTCCTATGGGCTTACTTTGCAGCTCCCAAATCAAACAGCCAAGCAGCAGCAAAGAAAATATACCAGACCTAGACTGATAATTACAATAATGTTAAAACAAATAAATATTTGCAAGGGCTATGTATTTCCATTCAGGGATTAGTCAAGTCCCATATGATGGTGCACAAATTTCACCAGCAACTTTTTATTACACATCATCTTGTAACAGAAATTAAAGAGGGGCGGGAGTGGTGGCTTACACCTATAATCCCAGCACTTTGGGAAGCCAAGGCAGGTGGATCACGAGGTCAAGAGATCAAGACCATCATGGTCAACACGGTGAAACCCCGTCTCTAGTAAAAATACAAAAATTAGCTGGGCATGGTGGCACAGCCCGTAGTCTCAGCTACTCGGGAGGCTGAGGCAGGAGAATTGCTTGAACCCAGGAGGCAGAGGTTGTGGTGAGCCAAGATCGCGCCATTGCACACCCATCTGGGTAACAAGAGAGAAACTCTGTCTCAAAAAAAAAAAAAAAAAAAGAGAGAAACACTCATAATGAGAAATTCCACACAGCACCCTTTGTTAAATATTCCACAACTAAGTTAATTACCTATAGGAGACTTCTTGCATTTTTTGCTCTATCCCTTTGCTAACTCACTATTTCTTCCAAATATAAACTATGAGATTATTTTTCATTGGCCCTAAATTGTTTGATTCCTGAACAGAACAATATATATAATTACTTCATTGTGACTGGTTTACCAAAGGTAAAATTGTAAATACGTTTTCAGTGCTAGGGTCATTATCAAAATTTGTATTTCAATGAGTCACTTTCAAGATTTCAAAGATTAAATAAAAATTAATAATCATTATTCTAATTTTATATGAGACAACCTAAAAACTCACAAAGCAATTTGCTGGAGTAATATCATGTAAGTTCAAAGACTAACGGCCAGGCACAGTGGCTCACACCTGTAATCCCAGCACTTTCAGAGGCCAACGGGCTGATCATGAGGTCAGGAGATCAAGACCAGCTTGGCTAACATGGTGAAACCCTGTCTCTATCAAAAAATACAAAACATTAGCTGGGCGTGGTGGTGTGCACCTGTAGTCCCAGCTACTCGGGAGGCTGAGGCAGGAGAATCGCTTGAACCTGGGAGGCAGAGGTTGGAGTGAGCTAAGATCATGCCACTGCACTCCAGCCTGGGGGAGAAAGCGAGACTCTGTCTCAAAAAAAGAAAACTAATTATTACATGTGACCCTAAACCTTATAGTAGCAGATGAAAAGCAGGTAAGCATGAAGCAAAAGCAATCTGTCTGCTGCTCTCTTAACAAGTGTTAGATTTTTACCCTCTTGAGTTATCCTGGCTGCGGCACAGCTGGTGAAGCTAAATCAAGAACATTATAAATTCTCAATTTAGTTTTCCTAATAAAAATTCAGAGTTATAACCTGCATGATCACAGATAAACACTACTGAAAACGCAGCCAGCAAGCTGTTTGGTACATTTGATATGTATTAATATGTGCACTCGACATAGTTTATTTGGCATTATCTGATGGAGGTTAGGTTACAGAGAATAAAGTGTGGATGGTTTTTACTGATGTGAATTGGGACACAGTTGACATGTTGTATACTTCATGATAACCATTGCTGTTTAAATATGGTTTCCTAGAAATGGTTACAGTACAAACTAGATTCAAAACATCTCAGTTTGCCATTTCATTCTGTGAACTACACAAAGCAATTATCATATCTTTTTCCTTTCTATGATTCCAACAGAGAATCTATGTATAAAGCTATAAATAACTTGTCATGTGTAATCTTTATCCAGTCAGCATTTGAAAATATGAAATAGTAGAATATTTCTTATTTGCCCTGTTTGCTCAAAATGTGGCATATGCACTTATAAAATGTACAGGAAGATAAATAGAAGGCTTATTTTTCTTCGTTTGTTTGTTTTTAGGCAGGTATTGAATACGAATTAGGTGATTTTGCAACAGAAGCCCTTTTTGCTTCACATTCTGAATGTATTGATAAAAGTACAAAATATATCACAGAAAAAGTAAAATTGGGTCAATTTTCTGAGGTTCCCAGGACTGGTTTAGTTCCAGTCTGGCCCTAAAGATTCTATGCTCACTAAGTGAGACTCTAGGAATCAAGTTCAAAATAGCCTACTGGCAACTTAAATTACAGTAAATATAACTGGGACAAAGGATTTATAAGGAAGCAAAAGACTCACCCGAATTATAATTAAAATAGTCATTAGTTGCTCATCAGCAAAGACTAGTTCATAATAATGCTGTCCAGAATTATTCTGAGGCTACAGTAAAAAAATGTTGGTGTGTGGGCACTGGAAAAGAAGCCGAAGAATGAAGAAATCAGGCTGAACAGAGACAAGACCAAAGTCCAGGGTAATATGGGCCCCTGGTGTGTAGAAAATGGTGGCTTTTATAACAAATGCAAAATCGTGTTTGGATCAAGTTTTTGGAGCCAAACCTCTTAGATTCCTGAGACTAAGAATAACCAGTTCCAATCCAAGTCTATCTAAAATAATTCCTTAGTTTCCCAAGCAACACGATATAGTAGGTTTGGAATGAGAAATATAGGTTTTAATTTCAGTTCCTCCACCTAGTAGCTAAGTAACCTTCAGGAAGTAACAAATTCTCTAACCTAAGTAATGGAAAGAATCATGAAAATAAGAGCAGTTACCTTTGCAGGATTATTATGAAGATTAAATGAAAAAATGCATATGAAAGCATTTTACAAACTATAAATCCCTTTAAAAATATTAGTAATCCATGTAAAATCTGAAATAACTAGATTCCAATTAATTTGTGCTCAAACCCCCAGAAGAATACCAAAATCAATCCAATTCACAGAAATAGGAACCTTTTAATATGCATCGCTTGGATATACTCTATGCACAAACAATAAAGTCTCACAATAAATATCTGTTGAGTTAACTTGGGTTTCCAAGACTATATTGAAAATAATTATAATAGAACGTAATTTTTTTCACATAATTAAATACATTTTATTTATCCATTTGATTATATTTATATTCCTTTACATTCCTTTCAAAACTTATTAAAATGTGTGCCTGAACAAAGATCACAAATCTGGGTTCCACCTTCATTTGCCCAAGGAAGAACACTCTTCCAACTATGTCATAAATTTATACATTGGTCAGAAGATGACCAGTTCTATTCGTATTCATTATTTTATTAGGTCATTACCACAACCGGCAGAGGTAGGCAGAGTTGACATACCTGCATTTTATGGAGGTAAGGCAT